AGATATTATTTTTAAATGCGCGCCCGCGCGCACTCAGACCAAATATTATTTTTAAGTGCGCGCCCGCGCGCGCCCAGACCAGATATTATTTTTAAGTGCACGCCCGTGCGCGCCCAGACCAGATATGATTTTAAAGTGCGCGCCCGCGTGCGCCCAGACCAGATATTATATTTTAGTGTGCGCCCGTGTGCGCCCAGACCTGATATTTATATTTGAATGCGCGCCCAAGCTTGACATTGCAGTTATAGTACGCGCCCTTGTGCGCCCAAGCTTGGCGTTGGGGTTAGAGTGCACGCCCATGCGCGCCCAAGCTTGGCATTGCAGTTAGAGTGCGCGCCCATGCGCGCCCAAGCTTGGCATTGCAGTAAGGGTGCGCGCCCATGCGCGCCCAAGCTTGGCATTGCAGTTATAGTGCGCACCTATGCGCGTCCAAGCTTGGCATGCTGTTAGAGTGTGCGCCCATGTGCGCCCAGGCTGGATATCATTATTTGAGTGCGCGCCCATGTGCACTTACGCTGAATATGTGTGCGCCTAGGCTGGATATCGTTATTTGAGTGCGCGCCCATGTGCACTTACGCTGAATATGTGTGCGCCTAGGCCGGATATTGTCGTTTGAGTGCGAGCCCATGTACGCTCGAGCATAGGATTGCTAGCTGGGATGATTTGCCATCACGCTCCCGTTGATTTATTTCCTCGCTGATCAGCATCACCTCGTGCACGTGATACTTTCCCTCGCACGGGGAACATTTGCAGTCCAGTCCCTACACAGGTGATTTGGCTCAGTCCAGCCCCAGTACTTTTAGCATTTATGACTGGTCCCTGTGCCTGAGATGTTCTACTGATCAGTTGCTATTCAGACGGGCCCTTCAGGCGGGCCTACTTGAGATTGTTGCTATTCAGCCATGCCCCTTCAAGCGGGCCCATTTCCCGAGATTGTCGCAGTTTAGCCAGGCGCCTTCAGGCGGGCCCTTTCGTCTTAGATTGCTGCTGTTCAGCCGGGCCCATTCAGGCGGGCCTTATATTGAGTTGCTGTTCAGCTGGGCCCATTCAGGCGGGCCCTATATCGAGTTGCAGTTTAGTGAGAACATTCAGACGGGCCTCTACATTGTGTTGCTGGCTACCATTTGACCAGGTCTTGGAGGGAGCATCCGCACTAGTGAGATTGCGCTTTCTGTCCAAGCTGGCCCTTCATCGTGAGACTGCCCCTACTTGGGGTAGACTGGTTGAGAGGTTCTGCTATCGACATGTGGGACATCAGAGCTTTGCTATCAGGGCCAATGAGTCACCGACTTCGAGATATACGTTGGTGATTACCTATTCGGTACAAGGGGAAGAGAAGGGAGTGAATGGCACCACATATGACAGGATTGCTGATTACATCTTTCGCAGGGAGAGCTATTGAAGGGATAATTGGCTACATGTGGTGTTTCCTCGCGTACCTTCGGCACCTGGGGGTGTACTCTTCGACTTTGATGGGTGTAACCCCAAGCCCCTCAGTGAGTCTCGCAGCAAGGGAAGGAGGTGGAAGGACAACCGGATTAGGAGGGAGATAGCCAGATCCGGGGTCCCGATCACTACATGCGTACAGAGATCTGAGACAGATGAGTCCGATCAGGGGCCCTGCTGCATGAGTGACGTTGATTTTGGTGACTACTTCAACTGGGACACTCACAGGGACTAATTCTGTGGACAGTAGCAGGAGCACTGGAGACCGGTGAGCGGAGACGACGGAGAGCGATATTGTGGAGGATTGGGTATCTTCTTGCACGATATCTGTTCAAGGGCGATTGATTTCTACATGTCAGACGGCCCTAGGACCGACACGGTTATTGGTCCCCCAAGAGGGGAGGGTCCGGTCCCATATCTCGGAGATGGCTACAGTTATTTGGTTGGGACGGACTTTGCTATGCAGGCTTTTCGGAAGCCTCTTTATGGAGATCGTTTTCTCGAGGTTTCTTACATCTATACTGGTGGGAGAGGACGGATTGAGATACTGATTGGTGCTTCAGGCGACATCACTCTTGCGGAGGAGCTTTATCTCAGGAGTGTCGCAGACGAGGAGATGGTGAGATGCATGACCTATATCTGCAAGATTGATCCAGCAGCGCCTCTCGATATCAGCTACGTGGTTCCAGAGTCTATAGCCACACGGGTTCTCAATGACGAGGTGTCAGATATGCAGTCCGAGACGGCAGCACTTACTCACGAGGGGGTACCACTTATTATCATTGATTGAGGTTCTCTCTTTTTCAGTCACTATGATGTATTACGACATTATTATTTATTCAAGTTAGTGACTGCAGCCCTCCGATGGCTGCTCCCTGCATACTCTGTGTACTACTCTTCAGTCTTGTATCTCTGGTCATGCTCTTGCAGAGTCTGGTTTCTGGTCTTCTCGTTCTGTCAATTGCTCTATGATGTATGTATGCTATTTTTCTCCTTATGATACACAGGCTACACTCAAGGCAGCTTGAAGAACTCCTGGATGATAGAGACTCCGGTGACCTTGAGTCTAACCTTTATATGGGGTCAGGTGCAGGCGATAAACCCGAATGCCTCACTCTAAGCCGTGTCGCCGCTGGCAGGAGGGATAACCCTGACTACTCGGCTGTATGACTAAGTGTGACTGCCTCTGAATACACCTTTATTCTATACCTATCAAAATCCTGCGTGACAGTCTGCCAGTCCACCAACCTACTGAGCTCGGTCCGGGGAAGAACATCTAACCAGACCCTTGAAGCAGTGAGGGCGCGACACCGTGTGCTCTTCCCCGCCGCGCGCCACCTCTCCCCCCCCCAATCCAACCTCCGTTCCTCTCGCAGCGCGACTTTCCCCCCCTCGCTCTCCCCTTCCCCCCTCCGCAGCGCGATCCCCCTCCCGACCCCCCCACCCCAACATCATCATCATCATCGTCTATCATCATCATCATCATCATCAATCACTCTCATCATCTACCATCACCATCATCATCATCATCATCATCAATCATCATCACCATTATCACTATCATCGGGCAACTGCCTCCGCCCCCCCCCCCTCGTTCCAATTACTTGTTAATTTCTTCCGAATAACAAAAATTTATTAATTTGACATTATTTTTCAATTTGTTTTTCCCCCTTTTCTTTTAAATTCTATACTTTAAAACTAATTCTTGTTTTTCAACATTTATTTTTTAAATTCGAAAAAACTTAACTATTTTTTTTTCAAAAATTTTATAATTCACAAATACTTTAATTAATTAACTCTTTCTACTTTTAATTAATTTTATTTATTTATTATTATTATTACTAGGCTACTAGCCGGGCTGCCCGACTCCCGGGTGGCCAGCCCGTGCAAGGACCAGGCAAGGTCCCAGCCAAAAAAAAAAAAAAAAAAAAAAATCCAAAAAAAATCGAAAACAAACTATGTTATAAAGAAACATAAACTGAACAACTTTTACCTCAGGGTCATATCGAAAGTCTTCACCACATTTAGAATAAAAAATAAAATTTAGAAATAATTTTTTATTTTTTATTTTTTTAAATGTTTTTGGCCCGGCCGTGCAAGTGACCCCGGACCACTCTGGTAGCCAAGTATTATTATTATTATTTTTTTCAATTTTTATTCTTGTCATTCGAAAATCCGTTAAAATTAATTAATTATTTTTCGATATTCAAAAATAATTTTAATTATTTTTTTTTATCATATATTTTAAAATTAAAAAAAAATCCTTTTTGAAATTTTTTTCTTTTGAAATTTGGAAACGACTTATGATCAAATTCTTTTATGAAATTCTTTCTTAAAATTCGGAAATATTTTATAATAACTCAATTCCTTTTTCAAAATTTTGACGTTTTTTTGTAAATTAATACCCCAAAATTAATTTTGAATAAATTTCAATGCAAATTGAAATTTATTGTTCTTCGAAATTAACTTTTTTTTTTTTTTTTCATTTTCCGATATTTTCAGCGTTTATTTCTTCGAAAATTTCTGGAAATTTTCATTTTGCAAGTTTTTTCTTCGGATTCGTTTTGAATTTCTTTCCAAGGCGTATTCTTAAATTAATTAATTAAAATTAATTTATTTGAATTCTTGTTTTGTAAAATTCTTCTTTGAATTGATGCTGTTCTACCCTTGTAAATAGGAACACCCCCGGGCATGACACGCACAACCAGGAACTCTCAATGCGCGGCCGCCGCCGCCGACGCCGCCGCTGCTAACACTGCTGCAGCTGCAGCTGCCTCCACCTCATCTGTTACTACCACCTCAGCTGCCGCTGCTACCTCGTCCGCCACTTCCTCCCCCACCATGGAATCCAGCATTGACATGTCCTCCATTCGCACCGACTCCGTTGACAGCATCGCCCGCAATCTCGCAGACGACCAACCAGCTGCAACCCCCACCGCACCCGACTTTGCGGCCCTACTCCAAATGATGAAATCCCTCCAATCGTCCATCTCCCTCGTAAACACCTCCATCACCGATATAAAGACCTTCATCTCTACCATCTCCAACAACGTCACTGCAATCGAAGGGAACACCCCCGCCATCGCGGTCATCACAACAACCTCTCCCCAAACTACATTCACACCACTTCTCTCCCCGTCCACATCCATCGCCCCCCCCCCTAGCACATCATCCACCACCACCTCCACCACGGTCACCCTACAGCACAAGACGACAACCCCCACCGTCACAAAGTTGTCAACCATTTCTCCCCAGTCAAAACCTCTCATGACTTCATCCACTACCACTTCCATCCTCCCCACCTATACACAGATCACTTCCACACCGCGAGCCCTGCTCCCCGTTCTCCCAATACTTCCTCTGTCCGCACTCCTCCCGAGCAACCCCACCACCGATCACACCCGGGTACCGTCTTCCTCACCCAAGCTTGATTTCAACACCCTTGTCACCACAACACCCTTAACGGGCCCCATCCCCCCATCCTTTCGATCCATGGACATTCCCCCTTTCACCGGCCTTCCCCACAAGGATGTCTTCATCTTCCTCAACAAACTTTACGACGTCTTCTCCCTCCACGGCGTTCCTGTCACACACTGGCTCCCTATTGCCAACTCCAGATTACAGGAGGGCGCCGCTCGTTGGTGGTACACCGAACGAGCTAAACGCTAATAAGCAAACGCGGAACCCCATTCCTTCCTCGAGTGGGCCAACCTCATGACCTGCACATTCCGACCACGAAAGACTCTACTTTGAGCAACTCTGTCGCCTTCGACAGAATGGCCCGACCGACCGTTTAGTCCAATACGTCCATGCGTTGCGGCAACACATCCCCCTTCAAGTTGACTACATTAGCGATGCCATATTCATCTCCCACTTCAAACAGGGATGCCGCAAGGACCTCGCCACCTCCCTCGCCCACGACCCCCCCATGTCTCTCTCCGATCTCTTCAAGTGCGCCATTCACCTAGACAAATTTCTCACCCCATACAAAGACGCACTCACATCGACCCCCCCCCCCCCCCCGCCCACGTTTCTTCCACAACATCACCGACGAAACCTCTCTCTCCACCACCTCGGACGAGTTCTCCGCTCCCGACACCAACACCTCATCCGACACTATGGAAACCATGACACTTTCCCCCGACGAACTCTCCGCCGTACACCTCATGTGGATGGAACAGAGAGACCCTACAAACCGTCCTCCGTCAACCTTTCCCCTAGCCCGCCTCAAGAAACTAACACCCGAGGAATGGGCCTATCTTCAGGCAAACGATGGTTGTTTCCACAGCCGACAACTGGGACATCAACAAACTAGTTGTCCAAATACCAGGCAGTTCACACACCAATCCTCAGCCCCACGACCCGCAACTTCCGCATCACCCCCCTCCGTGGGAGCGGGCTCCTCCTCGACATGAACACGGTCCCCAGGATCCCGTTTCGGCATCGACGACCAGTCTGTCGGCCATCCGATCGGCGACCTCTACCCCACCGATGGCCCAGTTAGCATCAACAATACGTCTGCCCCCCTTTCAACGATTTCCAGGCGTCGCAACCTACGTCGCCTGACGCACCTTCTAGTGGAACATGTTCCTTTACCCTTCTCCCGAATCCATCCTCCACCACCTTCTCTGATGTTGTGGAGGACCAAGCCCGACATGCTCGGCTTGTTAGATTAGGCATCAAACAACGCCGCCTGAACGCCATCATCTCCACCGCCTACTCATCCCACTTCCACCTCAAATTCATCGCCTCCACCCTTGGTGCGTCCACAACCAAGTTTTGGGCCTTCCTTGACATTGGAGCTACCGGTAACTTTATCACCGACACATGTGTCCGCAAAGCCGGTCTCGCCTCTACCGATTACGACTTCCCGATTACCATTCGCCAATGGTACAAAGGCACCTCCGTCGTAGTAGACCGCACAGTTCCCGAGACCACCATGACTGTCGGAACCCTCCAGTGTCAGGTCTCATTCGATGTCATGCACTTGATGTGCGACATCGTATTGGGAACACCTTGGTTGGACCACTACATGACATACGCGTTCCACCTCAACTTCTTCCGCCTCACCAACACCCCTGACACGCCCATCGACATCCCCTATTTTCCCCACCCTACCTCCCAAAACTCCGCCACTCCCCACATGTTTCTCCACATGGCCCGTCACAACCCCGACTCCACCTACTACTGCCTTGTCCTTGATCGCGAACGCCCCAAGGACTTGCTCCCTACGGACAAACCCGATCAAGCCCCCCCCTCCGACCCCGCCTTCACCTCCATCCTTGACGAATTCAAGGACGTCTTTCCCAACTCCTTGCCTGCTGGATTATCCCCAGATCGTGGTGTATCTCATACCATTGATCTGGAACCCGACCACTCTCCGCCGTGCCGCCCTCCATACCAACTCTCTGTCCCGGAAGCCGAAAAAATGAAGCGACAACTCAATGAACTCCTTGAAAAATAATTCATTAGGGATGATTAAGCCAAGTTCCTCCCCTTTCGGTACAAGCTGCCTTTTTGTAAAGAAAGGCGGAAACTCATAACTAAGGATGTACACAGACCACCGCGCCTTGAATCGGATCACGATCAAGAACAAGTACCCCCTACCTCGGATCTTCGAGCTTCTCGATCGACATCGTGGAACCAAGTATTTTACCAAGATCGACCTCCGCAGTGGCTTCCACCAGATCCGCATCCGCAAGGAGGATACCCACAAGAGGGTCTTCCGTTCCTGATTCGGGCACTACGAATTCCTCGTGATGCCCTTCGGACTCATGAATGCCCCGACCACATTCCCATCTACAATGAATCACATCTTCCGCGACCTCCTCGAAGTCTGTGTCGTCGTCTACCTCGATGATATCCTCGTCTATAGCCCCACCTCCGAGTCCCACCTTCAACACCTTCGCCAAGTCCTCTCTATCCTCATAGAGCAAATGTTCTACTCCAAGCTAAGCAAATGCACCTTTACTGCTTCTAGTGTAGAATACCTTGGCCACATCGTCTCTGCTGAAGGAATCCGCATGGACCCCTCGAAGGTCACCACCCTCGTTGAGTACCTCCTGCCCAAGACGCTACTCCAAGTACACTCATTCCTCGGCCTTGCCAACTATTACCGCCCCTTCATCCGCAACTTCTCCGACTTCTCTTACCCATTCCATGAACTCACACGCAAGGACAAACCCTTCAATTGGAACGACCACCACCAAAACGCCTTCGACTTTCTCAAACAAACCATCACCACAACCCCTGTCCTCAAGATCGCCGACCCCTCTCGACATTTCTACGTTACCACTGATGCATCCGACTTCGCCATTGGAGCCGTCCTCTCGCAACATTTTCCTCGTGACACCTCCGAACCCCCCTCCATCAAAAACTCCCCCACCCACCCCGAGGCTCCACCCGGCGAATACCCCATCGCCTTTGCAAGCAAGAAGCTCCTTCCCGCGGAGATGAACTACCCCTCCAACGAGAAGGAACTCCTCGTCGTGATTCACGCCCTCAAAGTCTGGCGCCCGTACCTCGATGGGCAATACTTCACCATTCGCATCGACAACACCATAGTTTCCTCCATTCTCACCAAGAAAGACATCACACCCATGCCAAGCTCGCTGGTTAGACTTTCTTGCCCAATTCACATTTACCATTTGCCACACTCCCAGCAAAAGCAACCGCGTTGCTAATGCCCTCTCCCGACGCCCCGACCACAAGCCCCCTAAGAAACTCTACGCCTCCATAACCCACATTAAGCTCCTCCCATTGCTCCATCACCGATATACACAAGGCTACCTCTCATGCCCCGACTTCTCCACCATCTACAACACGCTTCGTGACCTTGACCCTGTTCCCGACTACTACTCTCTCCACGACAATCTCCTCTACATCAACACCAAAGACACTCGCCGATTTTGCATTACCCACGCACGTGGTCTCCGTACCCAGCTCTTGGCCGAGCACCACGACGCCAAGACTGCGGGACATCTCGGATTCTAGAAAACCTTTGACACCATCTCCCGCTACTTCCATTGGCATTCCCTACTCACCGAAATCAAAGCTTACATTCGCTCATGCCCCACATGCCAAGCTGTCAACCCTTCGAACCGGGCCAAACCCGACAAGTTACAATCATTGCCTATTCCCACTCACCGATGGCAGTCCATCTCTATGGACTTCGTGTGCGGTCTACCCAAGACCGTCCGTGGCTATGACTGCATTTACGTCATCGTTTGTCGCTTAACTAAATGAACCCATTTCATCCCTTGCACCAGTTCGCACAACACCAAAGGTGTCGCCGTGCTCTTCTTTGACCATGTTGCACGCCACCAGGGTCTCCCCGAGAGTATCATCAGTGATCGTACTCCCCGCAGCCCCGCTTCCCCTCACAATTCTGGAAACACCTCTTCAAGGCCTATAGAACCACGCTCAAGTATAGCACTGCATTCCACCCACAGACCGACGGGCAAACAGAGAAGATGAACGATACTCTCCAAAGAATCCTGCGGAAGTATTGTCATCCACTCCAACACGATTGGGATTAGTTGCTCACTGCCGCCGAGATCGCCTACAACACCGTCTGTCCTTCTACTGACATATCTCCATTCTACCTTGACCTTGGCTACCATCCTCGCTTGCCCTCTAACTTCTTGCTTCCTTCGCAGCTTAACCCATCCACCCCCTGCCCTTCTCTCAATGAATGGGTAGCAACAATGAACAAACTCCTCAGAGAAGCCACTGAAACCCTCTTACGAACACAAGAACAACAAACCAACAAGACCAACAAACACAGAGGTGACGTGTCATTCAAAGTAGGGGACAAAGTCTGGCTTTCTCCCAAACGCTTTGAACCCGAACATGACTTATCCAATAAACTCTCGAACAAGTACCTCGGACCCTTCCCCATTATTGAACAAACCTCCCAAGTCAACTACAAACTCCAACTCCTGCCTGACATGGCTCGCAATCACCCTGTCTTCCACGTGGAGTACCTCAAAGAATACCATGAATCCCCACCCCAATTTGTTGACCGCCCATATCCTAGACCTCCACCAATCATGATGTTACCCACACGCCCTGAGTTTGTCGTTGAAGCCATCATAGGACGAAGAACTACTTAGATATCTAATCACCCCGAACCAATCACAGAATACAAAGTTAAATGAACATGATACTCTGACGAAGAGTCCACATGGGAACCGATTGCTAACCTTTAAAATGTCATGAAACTTGTTCGCGCCTATGATCTCGCCCGTCCTATACCCTAGCTACCCACTATGACTAAGCCTCGCTTAAACCCTACCTAAATCCTACCTAAGCCTTGCCTCCTTGCTCTACACACATCCCCTGTACCCAGAAAAAACCTTGCCTTTTGACCCCCCTTTGTCTGATTCGCTCTTGCCTCCGTCCCACCCCGTTCTCCCATCTGTCCTCCAACACATCTCTGTCCCCCTTGTCCAAGTCGTACATGTGGCTCCTACGCGTCGCCGACGATAAAGGATCTAATGGCAAGCGCACGAGGACGATGGCATGCTGCAGCTCAGCACGAGGAGATAAGACAGCTGGTTGGCCACCATACTGTTCCCTTTGGCCGTCGCCTTGGACTCGCAGACTTCTAGAGTAACACCCCTCACATGGACATCAAGATCAGTCTGCGACTTGCTATCCAGATCAGACCTTATCACCAGATCGTATACCGGACGCAACCTGCTACCGGGACACTCAAGACGAAGCCCTCACCGTCTATATAACAGAACTGTTGAAGACTGCTTCCTCACCACCACTTCTGCGACACCCGCGAAGACCTTCCTCAAGACATTTTTTTGCTTTTGACACTTCGCAGACCTGAGATGTTGTTTTCCCTGACCCCTCAGACGCCCCACCACTTGAGCATTGAACAAACGATTTTTGTTTTTATGTTTCTCAAACCTGACAACCTATAAGCTTGCAGAACATCAATAGAATTACCCTGTTACCTGAACATTGATTCCCTCACCCCTGTAGAACCTCAATAGGCTTACCCTGTTACTTGAGCATTGATTCCCTCACCCCTGTAGAACCTCAATAGGCTCACCCTGTCACTTGAGCATTGATTCCCTCATCCCTGTAGAACCTCCTTAGGATTACCCTGTTACTTGCATTACTCCCCCTTTCCTTTTTTGACCAGTGATCGGCCCCGTCCCGTCCTTCACAGTTGTTCATTGGGTCTTTGGCAGTCGGGACATTGCCTTCCAGAGGGAGGGGATAGTGTTACAGACTCAGCCAGGGCTCGATCCCTGGTCCGCCGGTTACCACCCGCCAGACTGCTATTTTATTTTGCAATCGCCGATCTCTGTTCTTGACTGTTGGCACCCTCTACAGTCGGCGCCCGTTTTTAAATCCTCCCTCTGACACTTTCGGATTTCGATACTTGGCGCAATCCGACACTTGCGTCCAGGCTCAGACCTTCGATTTATAGTTTAGCCCCGAGGCAAATTGCACTTCTGCCTTAAGTTGAGTCCGGTACTTAAGACCGGACTCAAGCTGAGTTTAGGGACTCAATTTTCAGCCTCAGTGCTTATGCTTCAGTGTGACTTGGTACGACTTTGTGTTTGGAATCGAAGATTGCGACTTTGCGACTTCGCCTCTCCGTGTCTGTGTCCGTGACGTCGAGTCGAGTCCGTGTCGAGTTGAGTGAGTGTGTGTGTACTCTCACTCTTTCCCTCGCCCTCTCCCGGCCTCGCTACTCTGCCTCCGCCACGTCACATTTACAATAAGTGGTGGTATGACCTCCCTCACCACAATAACAGCAAGTGAAACTTTTTCTTGGTCGATCTTCATATTTACCTCTTTCTTTGTTACTTCTACCACCATTACTTTTATTTCTCCTAGATCTGGATGTGTTCCCTCTCTTTTCGTCGTCATCATCATCATCATTTTCATCATCCTCACTTTCCACCTCCTTTTTTTCTCTTTTTCATCCGAAGTAGGGATAACAGATATATAATTTATTAATTTGTCATAACTCGTTGAACAATATTCTCTGTGTTCGCGTTGCTCCGTTTGTTTATGTCATTCTTTGTTTCTCAATCCTTAGCTAGGGTACTGATCTCATCCAGTGACCACTTCTTATGAGAAACTTTAGGTATAGACCTTACTATTGTCACCATCTCATTCCATCTAAGAGGGTAATGTTAAGCTTTCTTCAACACCGTTTGTCTCTCACTGTCAGTGAAACTAGTCAAGAAGATGTGACATCTCTCGGCCTCATCCAAATACGAAATTTTTCTAGTTGTTCGAATGAATGTCTGAAGGAAAACATTGATTGTATCATACTTAACTCTTTTGATATTAAAAAGATTATTGGTAGTAGCCTGAAAAAAATATTTCTCAAACTCTCTTTGCATTCTCTCTTTAATTTCTTCCCAAGTAGTATCCCCTTCCATCAACTCTATAAGTGTCAGTCTTGAGCCAGAATTACAATATGACAGAAAATGTTTTTTCTACTAGCCGGTATAACTCAGACAATCTATCGTCTTTTTTTTCTTAAATTAATAATTATTTTATAATTTTAAAAGATCATGCGGTAGATACTTTCAAGAAAAAATATTTTTCAGCGAAGACCATTTTGTTTCGGGCTCAAAACTTGTTTTTCTCATTGTATCAGTCTCTATGTAGTAGGTCTCTTAAATGAGACAAAAGTTTCGGCCCTCTACTAAGGTCTAGGCTCTAGGCTTAAGCTCTGATGACACGTCTGCACTTCGTGTCCGGCATGTCTTGCTGCACTTCGTGCCTGGAGCTGTGATGCAAGCCCCCTGATGCTTATACGACATGAAGCGGCTCGAAGAGCGGTCGTTTTCGGGGAAGCATATCCTGCAGCCCTTCGGCCTTGTGCACTTGGGGAAGCACGCGAATGCACGCAGCCTTTGGCCCTCTGCCTGCTGTTGGTCAAAACCAGCAAGGCCTTAATCGGAGCGGTGAAATGCTACATGACGGCAGATCACCTATCCTATTGGGGCCAGACGACTAAACGACATCTCGAAGCGCTACAGCCTATAGGTGATACCGGCGAGATCCAGTCGAATGATTTTTTAACTGAAAGTCAGAGGACGCGTAGTACCTGCATAACTCAAAAGAGACCTGGTAACAGGAAAGCACTGGCTACTTCGCCAGTAGGGAAGGGGTCTAGGTATTTGCTTAGCCTAAGCAGGTTTTACTCTACACAACCTTAAATTCGAGTGGCAGGCTTGGGTGCAAGCTCTCAGGGTCAAACTTGGGTTCAAGGCCAGGGTTAAGCTCAAGTGCAAGGTCAGTGCTTCACGGATTCTCCTCCTTTTTCCCATGGGAGGAAGGTGCTTCAGTTTTGCTGGGAATGAGCACACAACTACGTGAGATTTGTATAATTCATCAAACACAGGGAGGTGTTCCTTTGGGTATTCCCAAACTTCAACCTCCGCTTCCTCATCCTTGCCAACTTTCAGTATTTCGTTTGAAATTACTGGTTTGATTCTTGTCTCTTTCACCATCAAATCGAGCACTTCCTAACTTGGGTCTTGCTCATTTTGGAAGCGCATTCTTCTTGAGTCCGCAGTTGAGGTGTGACCTGTGGTTGTGCCCGAGACTGTTCCTGAGGTTGAGCCTGAGGCTGGACCTGATGTTGAGCCTGGGGGAGAACCAGCAGTTGAGTTTGGTCCAGAGGTTGTGGCTGGTGCTGGAGTTGTAG